GACCTTGTCCGTCGCAGCCGCAGCCATGGTCGCGTACTGGCGCCAGGCAGGGCTCAGGTACCGCGCCCGGGCGCGCCGGGCGGGGGGAAAATGGGGGTCTGGACAAAGGGGTTGGGTCTCATCTCCTTCCTGCCCTTGTTCTCCCCTCCCGCAGTTACATCCGGTACTCGCAGATCTGCGCCCAGGCTGTCCGCGCCGCCATGAAGCCGCAGTACAAAGCGGAGGCGGAGAAGGCGGCGGTGGCCTCGGTGAAAACGGTGAAGCCCAAAAAGGAGTGAAACGGGAGTGGGTTTAAAGGGTTTGAATGGGGTTGGTGACAGGATGTAGGTCGTTAGTCCCCGCGCCATGTACGGGGAGAATCAGCTTCGACCTCGGTGCGTGGGACTGCAGGGGATTGCTGGCGTGGCCTGACTGCGTGTGAGGTGCGAAACTGCTTAATCTCGTTAGCAGGATGACCTGTCCAGCAAGTCTTGCTTTGAGCCATTTGGGGTTTGGTCAGACTCTTTGTAGTCTTATGCAGAACAGCTGTGTCTGTCTAGTGATGCTCACAGGTCCCTGGTGATGCTCACAGGTCTCTAGTGATGCTCACAGGTCCCTGGTGATGCTCACAGGTCTCTAGTGATGCTCACAGGTCCCTGGTGATGCTCACAGGTCTCTAGTGATGCTCACAGGTCCCTGGTGATGCTCACAGGTCTCTAGTGATGCTCACAGGTCCCTGGTGATGCTCACAGGTCTCTAGTGATGCTCACAGGTCTCTGGTGGTATTCACAGGTCTCTGGTGATGCTCACAGGATCCTAGTGATGCCCGCAGGATCCTAGTGATGCTCTTATGTCTTTAGTGATGCTCACAGGTCTCTGGTGATGCTCACATCTCTAGTGATGCTCACAGGACCCTAGTGATGCTCTTATGTCTTTAGTGATGCTCACAGGTCCCTAGTGGTGCTCACAGTTCCCTGCAGGGATGTTCACAGGTTTTGTACTTCCCTAAGGCAGCAGACAGCCTCTCTGAGCTGCTCTTGCCCCTAATCAGACTTGTAAGGACTATCTGCTCTCTGTGGAAGACAGGTGCTACTTGTACCTTTATGTGTGGCATTGCATACATCACAAGCAGCTGAAATGTCTTCTGTTCTGAAGAGAACAGCTTCTCTTCCTGATTACCTTGTGTTTGAAGTGTACTTTGTACATATTCTCGAATCAAGTAACTTGTGTTTTAAATCTCTCACAGGAACTGATCTGTGGTGAATGGCAGCAAACTGCAAAGCTGTAGGCAAGCTCAAGACTCTGCAGCCTAATGTCATCATATTAACTGTAAAACTTGCCTCTGTATGTAAATCTGCATGTTAATAAATGTTATTTCTGATAAACAAATGAACGTGTGGGAAGTGTTCCTTCCTTTTGCAGAGACATTTACTTTTCTGTTAAAATACTGGTTTTATCACAGTCTGACACTCAGTAGCAACATTTGGTTAATTTTGAGGCAAATTTATTGTTGGGTTTTGTGCTGATATTTCAGGTACATGAATGAGTGAGAGATTTAAATGTTTAAAACCACCTACATTCTATTGGTTACTTTGGGACAATTTTTCTTCACTGTGAATAAAGGCATATAATTTTGGTAATTAAAAAGAGCTCTGATGGCTCTATCAGCTGGCAGAATTACGCTGTTGGCTTTTGAATTCCTTGTATTTATGGTGTTCATCTTCCATTTGTGCTTAGAACAAAACACACTCTGATAATCAGTTTGATGAGGCTTAGGGTTGTGGCTAAGCTGGAAGCAGGATATTGTGCCATGGATGTGCTGCTTGGGATCTAATCTCCAAAGCTGAAACACTGAGCAGTGAATCAGGAATTTGGAGACTTGGTGTCATGTGAGAGGTGGAGGAGGAAGTGCAAGAATCCATGAGTTGTTTGTCCTTTTTGTTACCACTTTGTCACTTTCCTGGGAAGAGAGGGAGGGACATGCATTTCCTGGGAAGCAGTAGGAATGGAGGGTGACACTCCACTTCTCTTGGATGTGAGGTGAAGTTGTACTTAGAGCTGTGTTGGTTTGGGGGAAGTGTTTGCATATTCCT